ATAGATAGATAGATAGATAGATAGATAGATAGATAGATAGATAGATATAGATTAAAAAGTAGATGATATATGGTGAAATACCACGTAAACTAGTGGAATCGTCATGATCTAGCAAAATAATGAGGTGATAAGGAAACTTTTAAATCTTTAGAGTTTTATTGTGCACTGCTCAGAAAATCCCTCTCTGAAAATGTGAAAAATAAATAAAATTTTACAACTGAATTGAGGCATCTTCTTGATCCTGGCATCCAGTGGAATGATAACCCCTAGCATCGCAAGTTAATCAGGGTCATGGGAGCCAATGCACCAAGAGGATGCCAGGTTAGGAAGACAGGTGAAGAAAAATCAAAGAGAATCAGGAAAAGGACTTCCCCAGTTTGTTTGATGGAATTCTTTCTCCTTTCTTGCAATTTAAACAATAAAAGTTCCACTCTTCCAATTTAAATAGTAGAACTCCTTTGCTGGATAATTTGCATCTTAATTAGATAAAGCCATTTCTTGTTTTTTTTTAATTGTTAAAGTATGGTATTTTTAAAGATGTGTATTTCAAATCTTACTTAAATCTTACTTAGCACTCAAAAGAAAGTGTCAATAAATTCACTGGAGCTCACTTCCAGGCAATTGCGCAAAGGATCACATTTCTAATCCATAAACCTAATTATCAGTGGATCATAACTTAGGTGTGGATATCTTTTAACTCAGGTTTTTAGCAAAGTACTAGGGCCTATGTGGAAGGCCTAGCACGTTGCTAAAACCCTGAGTTAAAAGATACCCTTTGAAGAGATAAAATGAATAAAGTAGGAAATAAATGTGCAAATCAGGTGGAAATCAGTGGTGGGATTCAAATTCTTTTACTACCGGTTCTGTGGGCGTGGCTTGGTGGGCGTGGCAGGGGAAGGATACTGTAAAATCTCCAGTCAGAGGTGGTATTTGCCGGTTCTCCGAACTACTCAAAATGTCTGCTACCTGTCCTCCAGAACTGGTCAGAACCTGCTGAATACCACCTCTAGTGGAAATGACTAGGAATCAACAGGAGCTAGTATAATGACTGCTGCACTTTATAGCTTTTCCCTGGGCCTACAGTGATAAGAAGGAGGAAGTGTTTTTAACTCCTGTTTTTCTTATGCTCATTTTTCCCCCAAATGCCGTCCTGGGAATAATGTTGAACTGACAACCAAAAGCCACTTCAGCATGGTCAGAATGTATTTATGTATTTAAGAGACTTGTATGGCTATTCAACTTATGTGCCATAATCCTGGATGGCTTACAGCACCAGTGATATAAAACAATAAAGCCGGTATCTAAATAACAATTCTTGGCATCCCACTCACCAATGAATGAAAAAACCTACCATCATTAGATTGCAGCTTCACCTCACTTGAAAGAAGGACCTGGCTTTTAAAACTTTCTGGAAGGCTTGAAAGGTGGGATCTGCAGAAAGGAGGGTGTTTTACAGGGCAGGGGCTATTCTGCTGAAAATATTTCTCACAGCAACCCCCCCACAGGGGGTCTCCTGGTTCCTCCTTACCCAGAAAGCACCTGGTCATCTGAACAAAATCAATAGCCGAGCCCAATAGCCTGACTCCAAAATTAAAGCGTTTTAAGATTGCCTAATGAATCTCTCTCTTTTTAGCTAGAAGGATGGTAAACTGCCTCATGTATTTCTGCAGGGCCTACTTCCCATCACCTTCCTCTCCAGGGGGAAAAATAAGTAACTTTAAATTCAATTCGTTCTTGTATTACCAAGGCCACGCACATCTCTTATATTAAAAAAAAATTACAAAATTAAAACCTTTAATCAGTGGTGGGATTCAAATAATTTAATAACCGGTTCTCCGCCCTAGTGATTTCTTCCAACAACCAGTTCACCAAACTGCTCAGAAAGTTAACAACTGGTTCTCCCAAACTGGTGCGAACTGGCTGGATCCCATCACTGCCTTTAATCCCAGCCTGAAAGGACAGGAAGCATCTGAAATCACATATATGTCCAGAGACTGTCAATGGATCTAATTTGTGCTTGCCTCTCTACCTGAATTCTGCAATCAATTTAACCCAAGGAAGCACAAGCTCGGGTCAAGCTTTTTGCTAAGAATGGAACGAGATGAAGCAACACAAATGCCAGGAAGTCACTGCCTATAATTTCAATCCACAGAGATCATCAGCAACTCATTTCTAAGGCTTCTCGGTGTTTAATTGCTGGAAAAGTCTTTTTTAAAAAAAACTCTCCTCCCCCTTTGTTATTCTGTTCCCAGGTTTATATTTCTGAGATGAATGCAAAGACACATCTAGAGAGTTTCTTAATTTTTTCAAGACCACAGAATTATATATCAAACAAGACTGGCTTTTTAAATAAAGAAAGCTGGGTGACTCTTTTAAAATAATTGAAGTAATACGTGCTGTAATAACTCAACTTGCTTAAGGGAATTAGCACCTCCACCTCACCTGAGCTGGCTCTTTTTAGCTCTCTCACAAATCTTTCTGAACAATCTCCGCAGTCCTGTGCATTTTAGAAGCCTGGGATTTAGAAGCAAGATTTATCGCATCTGCAATTCTTCACAGTTATCCTATTTATAATTGGTACAGCGTATGTCCAGCGTTCTGAGCTCAGAGAAGAATTGAGAATTTCAATTCAAGGTCTATTCCTTTGGAAGTAGCCCACTGAACAACATCTGATTTCAGGTAAAAAGAACACCACATTTCCCTAAAAGGAAGACAATCCTGAATTTAAGGTGATCCCACCACCTTGTCCACTAAGAGGAAGGGTACAAAAATTAAAATGAGTACAGGGGAAAAAAAAACCTCTGCAATTTCCAATTTCCTTAGGTTAAGAATCTAGGATTGTCAACTCCAGCTGAACCCACTCTTGGAGATTCAGTTGGAGCTCTCCATTCCACGTTCTCATAATACAATATTTGTTTATTGCTGCCAACTCTACCACATTAAATTGCTGTCCTTCCTAACTCTATCACAAGCATAGGAGAAGCCAGAAAAAAAGACACAGTTTCTTTAAGAAGTTATCAACGGATTTGACTTATCTACCCTCTGCATGCTCCAATTTATCTTTTACCTCTGCACAGCCCTAGACACCAGTCCCAAGTTACCTTCAGATCTTCGGGAATGAAGACTTTGCGAGCTTTCTTAATCATCGGCTGGGGCTTGAGCTCCTCCTCAGAGAACTTGCGCTTGCGAGGGTCAAATATTTCCTGACCAGGAATGCTAGAAAGAGCAAGATCGGCAGGGTCTGGTTCATACCCAGCTTGAACCTGAATGCTGTCGGGATCAATGGGACTTGGCGTGTTTCGGTTTGTAGGCAAGATCTGACCTGAAGAAACAAAGAAACAAACAAAAAAGATTGCTTTATCAATACAAGAAAATATTTGTAGCTTAGGTTGACCTGTGGTATTCTGAGCTTGGTGGTTTTCTTGCAGACATTTCATTACCCAACTAGGTAACATAATCAGTATTAGAAAGGAATGAAACCCCCATTTCTTCTAATACTGATTATGTTCCCTAATTGGGTAATACAGCATTACTATATCCTACAGTGGACAGGACAAGCCTGCATGTTATGAACAGAGAGCAAACCCCACTCATTCCTAGCACTGAAGGGTAGGAAATGAAACATCACCAAGGTCTCTCAGAGAGACCAAGGACACCACAAATGATGCTTTGAAACAATAAAACAATATTGCTCAGTTAACCACCTTAACCCCCAAAGACTATTATCTGTCACATTTCCACTGTCTTGTCCTCTAAGTAAGTTGGTGCTTACACCCCCTCTATTTAGGGAAGCAAGCCCTGGTCGGTTTGTAATATACTTTGTCTTCTCTCTGCTTTTAACTGAATGCTCTCAAAGCCATATTCACTGGACTATCTGAGGACATAAGAAGAGCCAATATTCTGCCACAGAGTGGCCAACTAGGCCAACTCAGGAAGGGCAGACACATGGACAGGAGAGCAACTGCCCTTTCCCACTACTGTACTGTTCTCTAGCAATTAGCATTAAGTCATTCTGTCTTTGACCCAAGGTGTAAAGTTACCAAGAATAATATCAACTGATATATATCCTAATTATAGTTATTTGGTAGACACTGGTGTTTATATCACAGAACAGCCTTTTAGGAAACTTAAGTCTGAGACACGATGAGAAGCTTAGATTTATACAAGTCTCCAAACTAAGTATAGCAAAGTTGTCAAACTCCTGGCCTATGGGCTGGATGCATCATGTGCTGGCCATGCTACGCCCGGTTTAGCGAAGGGGGGGGGGGGAAAGTCCCAAAACGTCACATGACGACGTGAGTTTGACACCCCTGAAGTATAGCTTCAAGAACTGAATCCAGTTTACCTCTCCTGTTTTCACTTAAGACCCATTAGCAATTAAGATGTTGGAATGGGAGCAGGGAAACCCAAGGCCAGGTCCATCCTTAGACAGGGAGGTTCCCTGGGTGAGTTTGGGTGGGGAATACTCTCTCAATCCAGTCTACCCCACAGCGTAGCTACTGTGGTGAAATGTAAAAGGGGGAGCTGTGTGCACTACTTCAAGCTGCTGAATGAAAGATGAAATATAATACCAATAAAATAATCCAGTCTCTTAAAATGTTTCTTAACACAAGAGAAAGTAAGACCATCCCTAATGGCCATGAAGATGTCACATACATGCCATCTTTTGGATGCCCAGAAAAGATTCCTCTTGTGAGTGTGATGCTTTGGGTGAGATAATTCAGCATGACGCCATTCGGACTCACATATTGGAAGTAAGCAAGATTTACTAAAACTTGAATGAGAACACCCAAGAATATGAACGGACCAAGTCAGAATGTGTACCTGTCTTGGGATGACTTCAAATCCTAATTCTGAATATTGGCTGGTATTTCCCAATATAAACCAATCCCCGCAAGTCAAGGGCCTGCTAAATTATCAGGTGACAAATTCATCACTTTACAAAAAGGAGCAGGTAATAGAAATAACATAGATCTCCTCTTTGAAATTATGGCCCACATTCAGCCAACCTCTCTGTGTAAAATATTGACTCATTGCAGTACTAGCAATATACTGTTGCCAGCTAGCCTGCAGTAGATCCAGAGCGGCCGATAAGGTTGAAGAGAAAGTAAGATTTCTCCCCTTATTTTACTAAATGAGTGGTTTTATAAAGTCTCAATGCCACTTCAAATAATCCTTGAGTTAGAAAAGCTGGACGCAGGAGTGCCAGATCAGCACCTGTTCTCTCTCTTGGATGGCTGATCGGTCATATTGACTGTTGGTGCGCTGAGCCCTGAGAATCAGATTACGTAAGGAAAGTTGGAATCCATTTGTACAGCTCTTTCTCCATCCATATGCTCATTTGCTCATTTCGCTTCCGTATGCTGCACGAGTGACACATCTCTGACCCTTAACGTGCATTGTTCTTTGTCAGCTGGGGGTTTGTGCTCAAAGCAGGGAAAAAAATCACCTCAAGTGTGAGTCTTTTGAGTCGTTCGTTGCAGCATACCATGTATCGCTTTCCAAAATAACAGGAGAAAGGTGTAGACTAGGGAAAGCTGTTTATGAAAGGCACAAAAATGTTGATTCCATGGAAGTTGTGCCTTGTCAAATTCCTTCTACGAAGCAATGCGATAGCGTTTGCTGGCAGGGAGGGCCGAAAAGCCAGCTGGGGGAAAGTTATCCCCCATTTTTTTAAAAACATAAAAGTAGAGATCCAGAGATTCATCTCTTTTACCAATAATAGAAAGTTTCCTTTTCGCACGGTGGGCCAGGATGCTCGGTGCCAAGGTACTGAAAAATGGGCATATGCTGTTTTAGTTTTGCTAACTGAACAGATGATAATAGTGAGGATAAAAATGAAAAGTGGTATTTGATGATAGGCTTAGCCTTGTTTACGCATCTGATCTGTGGCAGATGCCAAGAAACCTCCTCAGCAACTGAGCAGGAAACTAAGAATTCTTGGTTCAAGCACAACATCCAACCCTCTCCTTCAAACTTTCAAGATAATAATGGATGGTTGGTCATGCTTTGTTGTACAGGGGGGGGGTCCTTGATTTGCGACCACAATTGAGCCCCAAATTTCTGTTGCTAAGCGAGGCAGTTGTTAACTGAATTTTGCCCACATTTTATGAGCTTTCTTGCCACGGTTGTTAAGTGAATCACTGCAGTTGTAAGGGTGAAAAATGGTCATAAGTCACTTTTTTTCAGTGCCGTTGTTACTTCAAATGGTCACTAAAGGAACTTTTGTAAGTCAAGGACTACTTGTATTCAGGCCATTCAGGCCATTCAAAATGCATTATATGTTGTAACCACCCACCAACAAATGTGGAAGTTTTCATGCAATTGAAACACTTCTATCTCGTGTGAGTAACATGGATAATTTTGGCTGTGATATTCCGAGATGCTCTTTCAACACATATTTAAACACAGCATGAACACTCCAAATCTGTATTGTTCTCATGCTCTTGCTTATACTGTTGTGACACCAAAAGCAAGACTGTGGGATGTTTCCAAGAAGATGCATTTTGCATCCTGCCCAACTGGTTGCACCAATGACACCATTTCATATATTTCAAAACCAAACCTATGAATTCCAACTTAAACTCGCACTGAACTACAGCCCATGTTGATGCACATTGCTATAGGATTTGAAAAAGTTGCCATTCCTCACTTACACAGCTGGGGTTTGTGTTTGCTTGTGTGTGTAGTGTGTGAGTGTAAGTGACAAGCAGGCTTGTCCTTTCACCTGTGAATGAGAGATATTTCTCTTGATCTATTTTCTGACCTTTATATTAAATACTGTACTCCTTTGTGATATTTCTCCACTAGGGACAGGAACATGGCTTTAACAATAAAAGCGGCAATTAACCTCCATACTGTGGTACAGCTCAATCCACTAAACACGCATGGAGAAATTACGTCCCTCTCCAGTTCACAATGATACAAACATGGCTACCGAAACTTTGGTGGGATCCGTTCTTGTGCCTCAATTTGGGATGCTTAAATTCTCTTCAGTTCAAGTGGGTCAAAGGAGGACAGTGTGGAAAAGATCACATGCTTCCCAGAAAGAGCAGCGGAATAACTCTGCATCAGCACACTGTGCAGCTGTGACAACAACACCCAACTACAAGAGATGGTCAGCAGACCAGAAAGGCTGCAGGGTAGGATCAGCAGGATTTCTTCCTAAAGTTAAGGCAAAATATTTGGTACCACATTAATAGCTCTCTGAAGCTGCTATTCATGCTCACTTTTGATTCTAATTCTATTTTAATTAAGCAGATAAATTCAGCTGAACAGAAGGCTGATACACCCCCTTGAAAATGAATACACCATCAATGTATATGAGCAACAGATGGGGCTCTGCCACAATTTCATTATTCTCTTAGATTTCTCTCAACCTCGATTTCATTGAGGGCCGCATCAGGGCTGTGTTTGACCTCAGAGGGCTGTGTGTGTGTGGCCGGGGTGGGTATAACCAGTTCGATATCACTCAAGGCTCTGTTTTCATCTGCGACAGCCTCCTGCAGCCCTCTGCCAGCAAAAACAGAGTGGGGGGGGGCACGCACAAGCTGGTCCTTCGCTGTTTCCAGGGAGGCCCCACGGGCCAGATCTAAGCACCCGTGGGCTGAATCCGGCTCACAGGACTTGAGTTTAACACTCCTGTCTTAGATGATTATCTGCAGTTATTTCAATAGGCTACTGGCTTTATCCAGCCGTGAATCCAATTATGTAGAGTCACTGTATGATCATTGCCCAGATCTGGTAGGAATGCCTGGTTTTTTT